GCAAATTGATATAGAGATATCCATTGGAATTGCCATTCCGTGGTACAGAAAAGAAAAATTGGGGCATTTGGGATTTTTTTCTGGCTCCAGTGAGGTTACTGAAATAATGGTGATGAGAGTTTGGGTGTAGCTGTGTTGTTTGAGGATATTCCTTAAAAACGGAGCTACCTTTTGGTGTGTTGTGCTTCACTGTAGGTAAAACTACAGCAGGTATGGGAGAGGTGTTAATGGAGTAAGTTTTGTATGGAAATTTTAATGTGGATAAAATGTACCTAAAGGGCTATTTTAGGTGGGAACAGCCTTGTAAAAGAAGAAATCCTTATAGTGCAATGTGTTTTCCCTACCAAGAATTAACCCACTGATTAACAAAGCTACTTTTCAGAAAACGTTTTACTAATTTCAAAGAGAAACATAAAATCTGCCAGAGAAAGCAGTCATACAGAGGATTTTAAATAAAAAGACATATCTTGTCCCTTTCCATTTTGAATGCCACCTTCCCATTTTACCTGGGGAAAAAAAATAGCAAGAGATTTTTACCTTAAAATCCAAGATCTGACCCTGCTGCTCATGGGAGGAGAACCTGGTTAGGAAGGACATGGAAAAAGTGCTCACCCACTTTGATCTCTCAGGATTTTTGACTCAGGAGGTTTGGTTTCAGGATTGGATGCCTGGGCTCATTGCCAGAATTCCAGAGTGGTTTGGGTTGGGAGGGATCTTAAATCTCATCCCACTCCAACCCTGCCATGGGCAGAGTTGCCTTCCACCATCTCAGCTCGCTCTGAACCCTGTCCAGGCTGGCCCTGGATGCTGCCAGAAATGGGGATTCTAAGCAATTTGGGGGATAAATCAATCTGAACACTCCCAGGAATAACTCCTGCCAGAGAAAAAGAGATTTCCATGCTCTGCTTTGTTTTCAGTGGGAAATCTGAACTTCCAAATGGATCCCCGTAAGGATAATAATTCCCATTCGATAATATTTGGGGGGTGGTTTCCCAAGGACATGTAGCAGGAAGGCAGTGAGAGGTCTCCTGTGGGAGAGGGAGGGTTTGGAGTGTTTATTCCATGCAGGCAGGCAAGATCCACCCTTGGAAGTGCTCTCAGTCCCTGGCAGCTCTGCTGCCAGCTGGAACTACTGGAGGCACTGGCATGGGAGTGCTGCCTGTGGGCATTCCAGGAGCCTCCTGAAGATTAAAAGAACAAAAGCCAGACAGGATAACGCTGCCAGTGCAGCGGATGTGTTTCCAATCCTTTTATTTCACACTGTGTTCTCTAAATTGTGGCAGTCAGAGGTGGATTGGATTTCCTGCTGCTCCTTCCCCTCTGATCCTGGGGATTCCCCAGCAAGGCAGGAGCACAACTGCTGCATGAAGTCTCCACAAACGACCCCCAGGAATCCAAAAACTCCAACTGGAAACTCGGCAGTGAAATTCAGGCACTTTCTTACAGTCTAAACCAGCTGGAAATGGGGCATCAGGATGATCTGAGTTGTACACTGCACTTTAATCAATTGCAGGGGCATGGGAGGTAAAAAAGATGGAATGACACTTAGGAAAGAGATCAATATATTGATCTGAAGGCATGTTCACACCGTTGGGCAGGGGAAGACAGTCCCCAGCAGTTTGTTGCAGACTCTAAGAAAGCAGCCTGGGGTTAAATAAAAAGCTGATGGGGCCCTGGAGAGGAAAGACATCCCTTGACTGAAGTTATTATTCATGTGGGGTTTTATTTATATCCAGATTCTTTCATCCAACCCCATAATTCATTTATTGTTGGATATTTTGGTGTCATTGATCAGCACTGTTTGAAAACTCCAGCATGAACACGTTGCCATCAAGGAGAGATAGCGACAGGGAAGGAAATGAGATGGAAAATGGGGATAAAGAATTATGTGCTCTAGTATCACTGGCACTTGGATCTTCCCTATATAAATTAAAGGATAAATGAATTCCCGTAATGGGAGTAGTTTGCAGGGTGTGTGGTACTTCTGTCACCTGCTTGGTTTTAAGTTACAAAAGAAATGCTTTTAAAAAGTTGTTTTTTAGGATGGACCTACTCTTCCTACTGGAAAAGATGGGAAAGTTTGGAGGAATTTTTTTGGTTGTACTGTACTAGACCTCTAGAATGCTGATGAAATGTAATTATTTCCCCACAGAGCTTTCTGTTTGTGGGTATCAATGAATTCTTACAGGCTCCTATTTTTTATTTAATAAATTCATAAGCTGATAAACCCTGGATCTAAAGTCTGATTTAAATTTCACGGCTGTTGGGTAAAGCTTGTTGTATTGGACTAAATGACCTCTGGAGATCTCTCACAAGCAGCTCATCCTGTATTTCTGTAAGCAGGAAAATTCCTTAAAATGCTGGTAAAGAATTTTTGCCCATGCATATGATATGGTTGGGATGAGATGAGCTTTAAGGACCTTTCCATCCCAAAGCATCTATGATTCTATTCTTTTATTACATTACAATATCGTGTGAAAAAGTTTGGAAAGGAATCTGAGTTTTCCAAAATCCCCACTGTGTTGTTTTCAGTGTAAAGACTGTGATTTCCCAAAACCTACACTGCAGGTTACACCTTGTCTGTGTTAAAAACACAAGTTCCTGAAATTAAATTACCAAATTTCCTAGACTTTAAGACAACTTGAAGGAAAATTAGAGATGGAGGGAAAAGGAGAAAATCAGGAAAAAAGGGGAGATTTTTTGGCAGGAGAGGACAATCCAAGAGGAAAAGGAATTAAAATTAGAGGTGGAGGAGATAGGACGAGGCCAGGAAAAAAAGGGAATTTAATGGCAGGAGAGGGCAATCCAGGGAGGAAAGGACTTAAGCCTTTGGGGACAAGTAAAATCACAGACTCTGAAGTAAATCTCAAATACCCAGAGCGAGTCCAGGACTCCTGCTCACTGCATGACCCAGTGCCTAACAATGCAGTTTGAATTCATCTCATAGATGTAAAATCAACAGGAGAAGCTGGGATTTGAGAGCCAAAGTTAATCAGACCCCAAAATCAGAGAATCAGAATGTGGCAGGTGAACTCCAGCCGGAGAAAGTTCAGACTTCATTTCTCATAAGTGGTTGGATGATGGCAAGGTCACTGGGAGAGAACCTTGGCAGCATCATTTCCCTCAGGTTATTAAGGAATTTGTCCCCAGGAAGGATAGAAAAGACTTTAATAAGATTTTCATCACTGTCTCTCTCAAGATCTTCATGGAGATGCTTGTCACAGAAAGAATTTCATGTGCTTCTAGTTGGATTTTCATGTTTGTTAACAGGCAAATTCCTCTTACAACAAGATTGATGTCTCAAGTCCAAAACTGTGGCATCAAGAAAAAGAGATGGGGTCATTCCAGACCATCAGTGTTAGACAGAATTACCTCTTCCTGCTGGCACCAGGGAATTCCTGGAGAATATTTGGCAGCAGTGGCTGCAGCCACAATTCCTCATCTTTTTCCACTATTCCTTGAACTTAGGCCAGCTCGGGACAGATCAAAGAGGTTAAAAAAGCTCCTTGTCACCCCTAACATGGGCTCTTAAGTGAAAGGGATTTCAAAAGCTGTGCTCTTGTCTTCTCTGTTCCCAATATTTATTATTATATTTGTACGTTCATTTGCATCTTTGCCCTCCAGATA